ATTAGTTTACAAATAGAAAATTAAGAGGTGATTTGCTATACTTAGGTGGTTATACAAGATACAATAAATAGTTAAAATTTAATATCATCTTAATATAAATCTGTAACTAATCTTATCATTTATACAGCAAATTCAAAATAAAAATATATATATATATTAAAGCTATTTTGAAACATGAATAAATTTTAAACAACACAACCTGGAAGAATAATAGATTTCATGGTTCTATCAGGATGAAATAATCCCCAACTTCCTTCCACTAGACCAGTTGCACTCTTCCAAGGAATATCAAAAGCTTCAAAATAGTAATAATTAATACCTTTTAAATTAGCTAAACAAATGAAAGTATCTAAAAATATTTGTAAATTTTGAACACTAGGAATAGCAAAACCTTGTGCATTTCCGTCAGTCGGCCAACCGACTTCAGATATAACAGAGTCTTTACTAGCATTTTCTGCAAGTGGGACGACAGATTCATTATAGGTCTTAAATACCCATGATGCAGATTCGGTTATATTAACTGCATACCAATATGGGTGAATATTAGCCCACACTGCATCTACAGCATCTACAAAGGTAATATTATGATTTGAAAAAATATCAGAAGTGGAAACAGGCATTGTTTTGTTAAAACCCATCGAATTTATCTTTGATTTGACATCCATGATACGATCATACAAAATTTGTATAGGAATGTCGTTACGAAGGATAACTACCAAAATAAATATGAGATAATACTTTAATAATTATTTAGTTTAGACCTAATATAAAGTTTTTTTAGTATATACAATATTTAAAAAATTGAAAAGTACCTTCATTACCAACTAAAATACCATCAATTTTATCTTCACCATATTTTTCGATGAAATTAAATAAATGATCATATTGTCTTTGATAGGTAGTATCATTATTATCAACCCAAATAGTGGGAACAATAGTCATACTCAAATTTAATTTAAGGATTGCTTCCATAGTATAATCAGCGATATTACAATCCATTCCATAAACCCGGATTCTGTTAGTTAATTGGGAAATTATTTTTATATCTTCTATAATATCACCTAAAGTGTTTGTGCACCAGGGGTAAGTAGCATTTACGGGAGTATAATTTATTCCATAAAATATCTTCTTATATGCAGCGTTTGGAATAATAGTCAAATTGACAGGTTTATCGTCCCATGTGAAATATTCAGTATCAGAAGAATTATTGCCACTAATTTCCCTCTTTGAATGACTGTTAAAGTTCGAATAATTTTTATTATTTGAATAAATTTTATTGCTTGAGTAATTGTTACTGTTTGAAAGATTGTTACTGTTTGAAAGATTGTTATTGTTTGAAAGATTGTTGCTGTTTGAATGATTGTCAATGTTTGAAAGATTATGATTGTTTGTTATAAAATATACGATGCATCCGATAACTGCAGCTAAAACGATAACACATATTATACAATATTTGCGAGTACTTGGTTGTTGTGATCTAAGCCAATCATTTATGATTAGGTTTGGATCTCCCATTATATATCAAAGGTCGGTTAAAAATGCAGAAATCAAAATTCGAGAGATGGTCGTATAAATAATAAAAAAAAAAAAAATTCGACTTGTTTAATCGCCATTCAACATGCCATTCTAACAATAATCGTCAAGTATTTACATATTGAATTTTTGGTTCTGACCAGAGAATTTTCATTGAATATACTATAATTGGTTAGAGAGCCCCTGAATATCATTTAAATACGTTAGCTATAAACTATTCAGGATTATACCCCTTCAGAAAAATGATTTTAAAAAAAAGATGTTTAATGATTAGGTGGGAAATTCCTCTAAACTTCGCTAAATATCACGTGAATATATTAACAAATTAAAAGAACGCCTATTTCCACCATGGAAATTTGATATTTCCATTATGCTTTTCACGTGATTTTCAGCTAAATAAACATGAACATAATTTTATAATAAATAAGGTAAAGGTGAAATAGTAAAATTTCATAGTGAAAATAGGCGTAATGATTACTAATCATTGGCGATGCATATTTCTTATATTGCCCTAATCTATAGAGCATCCCTTTCTTCTGACTAAGTAAATCAGAATTTAGTGATTGGAACAATCAGTGTTATACACGTATAATTTACCGAAAATTATTTTAGATCTGCCAACATTATAGCTAACGTCAGCTAACTTTTTTGGGTTCATATCTAAATGATTGTGTTCCTCACGGACCGATTCAGGGCCGGGTTTTTTTTAGTCTGATCGTTAATTTTGTAGATTACTCGTGACCACTGACCAATCAAATTGCATAGTTTTATTACGATATCGAATTATTATATTAATGTCGTGACTGAAGTTCTGAAGTTGGAACTTCAGGTACCTGAAGTTGGCACTGACTAAAACAGCTAACTAATGCGTGCAGGATGATCTAATTTCAGGGGCTAATTTCCGTCAGGTGCAACTTCAGGTCCAACTTTAGACAGTCAGTAAAACCCGGGTAACTCGAATTTTAAACCCGAGTTAAAGCATATTACTTTTTAATCAGTATTGCATGTCGTTAGAACTATTTTTGCCGGGGTGTATAAGTTTCGTACTGTATCGTGTTTATGACTGTACTGTACTGTATATAAATTTAGGGGGTACGTATCATTTCATAGAAATTCATTTTATAGACGCCTCAGTTTAAAGACAACCAATTCATAGACAAGTTTATTTTATAGACAACCAATTCATAGACA